CCCCGCCTCCTTATTACATTGGAAAAGTCCATGTGTGTTTTGGGAGACCCAAACTTTCAGTGTCGAATCAAAAAGTAAATTTGCACAATGGCATTAAGATTTGAGAAATAATTGTTTATTTCGGTAATCTTTGATGTGAATTTAGCGCCCTTCAAAACTGGTGTGTTTTATAGATGTAAGAGCCGTTTGTGACTTCGTAAAGTTAAATAACTCAAATGAACATTGCGAGGAAAAAAGTGATAAATTAATTTTAAATGCCTATTTGTTGTATTTTTACGTTAATTCAAAAGGGTTACTTTTTAAAAATTGATTGTATGTTTTTAAAACCTCTTTTGGAATTCTTCAAAAAGTATTGAAAATGCATGCCGGTGGAGTTCCAAATTGTGTATTCTAACGCACTGACAAGGTCCATTGTGTTATAGAAATTTGATCTTTTTCATTCCAGCACTTACTGCTACACAGAAAATTATATGAATGTTATAAACATTGGGTTTCAAAAGTAACTATATAAGGAGTTAAGGATCAACTCCTTACTCATTTCTTTCCAGAAATCCTAACCACTGCACCACACATGATAACATTACAACACCTTATCTTCTCCTTCTTCAATGAATAAAATGTATGTAAAACAGTTTGTAGCATTTTGCCATCTTTGTCACATTTAATAATTTGTGTTTCAAAAGTATTACCAACAATGGCAAATAATATAAGCAGACAGAAAATATAAAGATCAGATATAAACTAATTTTGTAATGAGAGATAATCCAAATTTGCACTAATTAACAAAAAAATTGCATGACATTTGTGGCAAAAAAACTTTCTCTGAATGTGTTGATATCTTCAATTAAAAATATGCATGGACAAACAAGTACATTTACTATAGTATTCTCATAAAATTTATTATATTACATATTAAGTTGAATTTAATTTGACAAAATCTGGGAGCACTGCAAGAACCTGTTTAAGTAAATTCTCGCCCTTTCTCAACAATATACAGTCACTGTATTAAATAAATGTGTCATTGAAAATTTTTAATAGAAATTATGAAAGAAAAAAAATTGAATATTGCATTAATTATTTTATCACTATAAATACATAATATTTCAAACATTAATATTTTTTGGCTTTGAGCTCTGCAAACTGTACAAAAGCAATATATGTATCACAATTAAACAGTGGTCTGCTGAAGTAGTCTCCCTTTAATAAGATATCTAATATATTATTCACACACATTTTATAATTCTTAATTTTTCAATTGCATTTATTGGTCCATCACTCTTGAATACAATGTTGAACTTTTCCACCTCAGAGTCTGCATGGTTCTCACAAAAATGTTTGCTATTTTGAGTCCATCACTGCAGTTAGCCAAGAATATCCACCATTATTAATCAATCCAAGTGTAAAAGTCATTATTCATGAAAAAATGGCTCCTCCTCCCAAAGGTTGGCCTATGTTGGAACGTCACCCAAAGTTGGATAATGGACAAAAGCTAAAAAAATGAAATGCTTAAATGTATAGCTTGTATAAAAAACCTTGTTTTGATCCGTACATACATACATACTGAAATCAAACATTAAATATATAATGTTCAAATTTTATTAAATCTTTTGTCCACATTGGAGTAAATTTTTCCCATGACTCACTTGTAAAACACCTACCCTAGAGGTCATGATTTGAACAGATTTAAATCTGCAATATATGATGTTGTGTCCATATAAATATGAATTGATCATGACTTTGCTGTTCTTAAGAGATTTTTTTTCTAGATGTCTTCCTCCCAGGTATATGAAGTTTTAGTTGCGGCCTCCCTACCCACATGCCACTTAGTTATGATTTGATCAAACTTGAATGTAAAATGAAATGAATCTTTTAAATATAGATTGCCTATAGCCTTTCAGACAACTAAAAGTTAATGAAATTACATGAAATTTGCAAAAATGTCTATTAGCTATTTATCTTTCAAATCCTAGCACATCAGAATTTATTTTGGTACCTAAGGGATGAAAAATAGGGGATAACTGTTCTAGTGTAATACAAGAACCACCAGGCCTGAAGGGCATAAAACTTAGACGACCTCACTTTTGATCACAGTCTCACTTTTCCACTAAATATTAATAGACCGAATCAAAAGTGATTCAAAGTTTTTCCCCAGGCCAATTGAAGCAAACTTTCTTTTCTATACCCGGGCCAAGTGAGGTCCAGCCAGTAGACACCTACAAGGAAGCTGTGTCAGATGACCCAAATTCAATATTATACAAAGTACTTCACCAAGAAAAGACGGCTAAATTCTGGAACAATGCATTTAAAGAACACTCACATAAGTTTCCAGACTGTGATGGTCTACTGGACTGGTATCGGCATGGGGAGGAAAAACGAGGCCTGGCATGGATCCTTTCCATCCATTGTAAGAAGTGCCACTATACCCAGTCACCAAGAAAAACTTTATGAAAAGGTGAGAAGATCTGGAAGGGGTCGAATGCACGGCTAAATGTGACCATGGCTGTTGGTCACTTGGGTACCACAACTAGAGGGTAAAAGCATGACTTCTTGGTGCTAATGTTAAAGCAGCATCATCAACCAAAATGAAATAGACCTGTAACAAAGTAAGGAAAATTATCAAAGACATGAATAAAATATAATGAAAAAAATAATGCAGAAAATTCAAGAACTTATTAAATCTTTGACAAACTGTAGCTCTTGTTTATACTTATAATGAAGGAAGAGAAAAGTAGCTTGAAACTTTGCAACAGCAATAAATGAAAAATTGATTATTGGTTTAGTCATTTTTTGCAAGATTTATTGAAATCAAACTAAAACTGTAGGAGGAGTAGCATTTTGAAAATATTTCAAGGAAATTTCTCTTTTAAGTAACCATGGCAACAACATTCATCAAAATCAAAAACCAATGAAAAGAATCAAGTATCTTATAGTGTAGTCCACTTGTGTGCCAAGTTATATTGAAATAAGACCAAAAATATAGGAAGAGTAGCATTTTAAAAATATTTCAAAAAAATTTCTATTTTAAGTTACCATGGCAACACCATTCATTGAAATCAAAAACAGAATTATGTATCTTAGTGTAGTCATGTATCATTTTAGGATCTCTTAAGGAAAGATTAGCTCACAAAACACATATATGTCAGACGAAAATAAATAAAGATACTTTAAAATGTTTAGGAATACATGGAACTAAGAAATTTTAATGAAAAAAATTGGATATGTAAACTTGAATGTATAAACTGAGGAATGAATCTTTCACATAAATAAGTTAGATTGCCTATTTCATTGCATAAGGCCTTTCAGACAACTAAAAGTTAATGAAATTACATGAAATTTGCAAAAATGTCTATTAGCTATTTATCTTTCAAATCCTAGCACATCAGAATTTATTTTGTACTTAATTAAGGGATGAATTAAATAGGGGATAACTGTTCTAGTGTAATACAAGAACCACCAGGCCTGAAGGGCATAAAACTTAGACGACCTCACTTTTGATCTCAGTCTCACTTTTCCACTAAATATTCCTTTGGTAAAAGTGAGACCGAGATCAAAAGTGATTTCGTTTAAGTTTTATGGCCCCCAGGCCAAGAGCTGAAGCAGTGAGATGAAGTTTCTACGACCCGGGCCAAGTGAGGTCCAGCCAGTAGACACCTACAAGGAAGCTGTGTCAGATGATCGCCCATCTTTGTGAATATTTAAATTCGTTTTTTATTCTAAAATATTATACAAAGTACTTCATCAAGAAAAGACGGCTAAATTCTGGAAAAATGCATTTAAAGAACACTCACATAAGTTTCCAAACTGTAATATATGGTCACTGGACTGGAAAGCATGGGGAAAAAACGAGGCCTGGCATAAATCCTTTCCAAAAATGTAAGAAGTGCCAAAATACCATCACAAGAAAAACTTTTGAAAAGGTGCACAATAGAAGATCTGGAAGGGTAAATGGAATAAGAATGCACGGCTAAATGTGACCATGGCTGTTGGTCACTTGGGTACCACAACTAGAGGGTAAAAGCATGACTTCTTGGTGCTAATGTTAAAGCAGCATCATCAACCAAAATGAAACAGACCTGTAACAAAGTAAGGAAAATTATCAAAGACATGAATAAAATATAATGAAAAAAATAATGCAGAAAATTCAAGAACTTATTGATTCCGAAGTCTTTGACAAGACTGTAGCTCTACTGGTTTATACTTATAATGAAGGAAGAGAAAAGTAGCTTGAAACTTTGCAACAGCAATAAATGAAAAATTGATTATTGGTTTAGTCATTTTCTTGGCAAGATTTATTGAAATCAAACTAAAACTGTAGGAGGAGTAGCATTTTGAAAATATTTCAAGGAAATTTCTCTTTTAAGTAACCATGGCAACAACATTATCAAAATCAAAAACCAATGAATTAAGAATCAAGTATGTTAGGTTAGTGTAGTTTACTTGTATGAATACCTTTAAAAATATTTTTCTTTTAATCTACATAATTATATGCCAAGTTACATTGAAATAAGACCAAAAATATAGGAAGAGTAGCATTTTAAAAATATTTCAAAAAAATTTCTATTTTAAGTTACCATGGCAACACCATTCATTGAAATCAAAAACAGAATTATGTATCTTAGGGTAGTCTACTACAGTGTGCCAAGTTATACTGAAATCAGACCAAAACTGTAGGAGGAGTAGCATTTTGAAAAATTGTTTACAGACAGACGAACGGATGATGGACACCTTACTATTGCATAAGCTCTTCTAGTCTTAGACCAGTAGAGCTAAAAATGTGGACTTTCTGTTACCTTCATCAAAGCAAAGGGAGATGCCCTATATAATATAGCTATATACTTTCAGAGCAATTTAGGAAACCCCATACCAAGCTGCCCCCCAAGTGACTTATACACCGTAAGTGAAAATGTCACTCAGAGGAAAAATGTTATGGCAGTGTTCTGTGGGAGAAAGGAACACACCTGAGAAACAAAGAAAAGGAATTAACCTGGCCAGTGAGGACGTGAAGACTGCACTGCAACCATTCCTCCGGAGACCACCATTGGAGATAAGGACCTCAAAATGTATTGGTGTCAGTAAGAAAATCACCACCCTCCACTAGTCATATCCCATTTCACCACTGATGGAGACAGTGCCACTGCATGTGGTGCATCTGATAAACAAGGACGACATCAATGAAAAGACTTAGAGACTTGCAGTATTTCTTTGACTCTCAAAGAAAACAGACTGCTAACAATAACAATAGTAACATTTTATGTTTCCGGGAAGAACCAACATCATTAGATACTGTATAAGTAAAAATTTTCATGAGGATTTAATTTTTGCATTAGTGAGGCTGTTGAGATTGCTAAAATTTAATATTGCTGAAAATAAATTGTGGGTTACTTGTACTACCTTCTTTAGTGAGCATTTTGAAATCACTAAAATTACTTCTCGCTAAAAATAAAACACCAGTTTTTAAGGAGAAATTACTAAATTTGTGTCTGGCTAAAATTTCTACTTATACAATAATCCATGCAGAGAACATTTGTTTTGGACCTGAAGCTTCAATAAAGGACAGGGTACAAGAATTGCTACAAACACTACTCCGGAGACTTACCTTTGAAGAAGCATGCTATATGTCTACTGCTGTTGGTTCTACTGTAAGCTGCAGCTACCAAGGACAATGTGGATAATGTCAGCTTAATCCTTAATCTGTTGTGGACTCACTGGACTGAAAGCAATAAGTGAAAATCTTTGGTATTTTCAAGTGACTTTGAATTAAACATTACAGAAGAAGGCAAATGTTTGTTAAAAGACTGAAATAAATTTGTGATGTAATCTTGATAGAGTTAATATAACCATCCTATTGCTTAATTGCTCATAAAAATCTGAATCAGTCTGTGAATACCGTATAAGTAGAAATTTTAGCGAGGATTTAATTTTGGCATTATTAGCGAGGTTGCCGAGATCGCTAAAATTGAATATCGCTAAAAATTAATTGCATTTATTTTGTTATAGCTTCTTTAATGTGCAATTTAAAATCGCTAAAATAACATCTCGCTAAAAATAAATTACCAGTTTTTAAGGACAAATCGCTAAATTTGCGTCTCGCTAAAATTTCCACTTATACGGTATTTAAAGGGGCTGGGTGGTTGTGGGTATTTTTAGACTATTTTGATCTCCTTTAGAAGAAGCTCATGTAGCTTTATACAGATATATACTAATTAAAAATGATGAAATTTTAAAACTAAAATTTATTAAATTTTTCTTTGCCAAATGATAGTTGACAGCTTAAGGGAACATATATCTAAAAAATTGAGTTATATCTGGTGGTTAATTTGTTGATCCCCTAGCCTCCTTAAATATTTAAAATCAAATCCGAAATGTAGTCTACAATCATTGAAAATTCTTAGGTAGAATACATAAAGTTGTGCACTCACTGTTAAATTAAGGGTCCTGGGACCTCAATATTGGAACTTTGTAAACTGCAGGGGCACCTGTTGTAAAAGGATCAAAGTAAAATGGTCCATCCCTCTAAAACAACAACAAAATAGGCAATATAATCTTGAAATGAAACGAAAGCTGTAAAAATATAAATCTTAAAGAAAAAAAAACAGATCTAAAAATATAGATCTAACAGATATCAGCTGTACACTAAAAAATCTAAAAACAATTACAGTAAATTACTAACAGATTCATAATTAACAAGATGTGTTTGTGAGACACTATGGATGGTATGGAGACTGAAGTGGTATATACACTTGTTAGATGTTTTAAGGGTAGCAAGGTTACAGCTGAGGTCACATGATAAAAAAATTTCTGTACCAAAGGAAAGGTCTTGTCATAATGTACACTCATGCCAAATATTAAAGCCTTACAGTTCAAAACAGACACTGACAAACAGACAGACATGACTAAAACAATATACCCCAGGGATCTTTTGATGCATGGGGGCATAAAAAGGAATTTGGAAGAAATTTGAAAAAATGGTGGGCATTCACTCAATTTCAGATGCTGTGTATTTAATTTAAATGTATGAAAAATGAAATCATACATATTATTTTTAAATTATCTAGATAGCTTTCTTGAACTAATTGTTGCTATGTTTTATTATGAATGCACTTATTCTATTCAACTTTGTATAAATGGGAAAAATTAAGGTGGGCATGTAAAAATGATTAATAGTTGTATGAGTAAAATGTGACATTTTTGTTATATAAGGAGTATTCTGTGCATGTAAATATAATGTTCTTTTTTTTCTTTAACACAATAAAATTATTTAACTTAATTATCTTGTTTTTAGCCGGGCTTATTGCTCAAAGAGCAATTGCTTATGTGATCCTGTTCAAGGCAGGATGTTGACCCCATAGTCGCCATTTTAAAGTTACGTGCAAAAATATAGTTCTTACTCTCAACCGCTTTTATACAAACGCTAAATAAAGCAACAAAAATAAAACGAAGTTTTATCTATATAAAATAAACATTAGTAGTAATGACTTTGAAAACTTCATAAGTCAAAGAACATAGTTCATTAGCGTAAGGATTTTTGATAATCAGTGTTACAGTAGTTCTCTACACATACGAGGTAAAGCAGGAGAGGGAACCAGACTGGTCTGTTTGTTTACATTCAGCTGCGGTACCAGATTAATGCGGATTCTGACAAAATCGGACTGTGGTATTAGGATTGAAAAACTCACTGTCAGTGTCTTATCATTTATATTGATAGTTTTAAAATATTTTTTTCGTCAGAATATAAACGTGATTCATGTAAGAAATCCATTCTACTCTGTAAATGAGCCCGGCTCTCTGTACTTCTGAGTACTTTGATTTTTACCTGTCTGATGAACACAACAAAGGTTAGAGAGGTAATTAGTTGAAATACAGGTCTACGGGTGACGTCGGGTGTCTGAAAATTCTCTGTTGATGACCAGACTGCATTCGACATTGTCTATTTGCCATTCATGATCTTTAACAGGGGGGGACTACTCCTGAAATCAGAGAAACTGTTACTGTAGATCACTTAATTTTCGCGACACCTTACTTTCGCGAGATTGTCATTGACTCTTGATTAGCGAGACAAAATTTTCGCGAATTGTGGTTATTGCTCTATATAATCTAAAAGAATACAATCATACGCAAGAATTAAATTTTCGCGAGTACACTGTCTCGCGTAATTACGCGAAAATAAAGTTCTCGTGAATAAAAAGTGATTTACAGTATTAAAAAGAGAGTTAAGGGTGTTACTCTTTAGGTCTCACACAAGGATTTAAAATCACTATTTGATACTATGTAGCTTTAATAAAGTTCAATGATGAATTAGATTCTGATCAGCAATAAATCATAAAAAAAGAAAATAAGATTAATATTCAAAGATAATATTTGTGATAAAAAAAATAAAAATAAGACAAAAATGGACAACTTGGGAATGGACCTGCTCCTAAAACTTTAACCTGGTCACTCATCTGGAAAATGTAGGTCACATCCAGCATCCGAAGCAAGTCTGGTAGTGTACATCCCTAGATGCATCATCCATGCAAGTTTGGAACGGGTAGGGCTTATAGTTACTTGGGAATGGACTTGCTCCAAAAAACTGTAACCTGGTCACTCATTTGGAAATTATGTAGGTCACATCCAGCATCCGAAGCAAGTCTGGTAGTGTCCATCCCTAAATGTATCAACCTGCAAGTTTGGTTCAGGTAGGGCTTATAGTTACTTTGGAATGGACCTGCTCCTAAAACTTTAACCGGGACGCCGACGCCAACGCAGGGGGTAGAGCATAAGCTCACCTCGACGAAGCTAAAAATTAAGAGTTCCTTTTAACTCAGTGGAATAATTCTGCTAAAGTTGTGATATTCCTAAAACATGAGTCCAAAGTTAATATTGTAGGCCTAAAACAATTTAAGATGCCGAAAATGAAAAAAAAATACAAATAAATTGTCTCTCTCTATATAGACAATAATTCATCCTTTAGGCTAGTTCATTTTGATTGGCTATTTTATTGCACAAGGCCTTTAAATGGCTTCAAAGAATTTTCTCTACCTCTTAATTATCTCCCCATGGAAGAGCTGATTTCCCTTTTCACCTTGATTTCCCTTTTCCAAAGGATGCGTTAATTCATAGATGTGGCAAATTTTGTTGAATTTTGCCCAATGGTTCTGTAAAAGATGAAAAATTAATTAAGTTAATTTTTTTAAACAATAACAATGCTAACAATTTTTGATCAGGAGAGCTCACTAGAGTGTCTGGATTAAGTGATCATGCAAAAATTGACACACACTGCTCAATGGCCAAAATTTGATTGATTGTATTATTGTACAATTGTTTACCTCACTCTTAAGAATTTTTCATTCAAATTGAGATTTGCCACAACTTGCTGGTGGAGAGCTGCAAATTTTGTCCTATATTGGCACTCAGGGCCATTTAGCAGGAAGGGATCTTTTTTGTGCCAGTACATACTGTGACACGGAACCTCTGTTTATACGGTCTTATCCGAAGGACAGGTCTCTACGTCCCACAGTGGGATTCGAACCCACAACGTAAGGATCAACTGACCTTACTTTGTGACTTTAGCACATCTATAGATGCTGTAATCACTGTGACATTTGGGTGACCCAAGATTTAATTTTCAATACTCATAGCTAAAACATTTAAATAAATTATAAATTTAAAACATAGATGCACTTCATACCTGAAAATCAATTTGGTCTCTTTGAAGGTTTCCTAAGTACTGTAGCTGCTGCAATCATCAATTCAAACTTCTAGTCCTTCAACATCCATTTCAGAATCTACAGGAATTCATTGCAGTTTCAGTAGCATATATTTATCTAATCAATTAAGGTCAATTCCTTTGGAATCCAAGGTCAATTCCTTTGCTGAGAATCATTAAATCAATGCTTTGCTGAGACAAATCACACAGGAATGTCTGGCTAGAATCACCAATGTAAATCTGTCACATCAATCTTTATCCATCAGGTCAAAGCATTATGTCCAACTAAAAATCACCACTGAAATGTCACACTCATCACTTGAATGTTCATCAAAACAGGTGAAAGCACTGTCCAGCTTAGAATCACCACTGAAATGTCACATGCATCTCGTGAATGTTTATCAAATCAGGTCAAAGCATTATGTCCAGCCAAAAATCACCACTGAAATGTCATATCCATCACTTGAATGTTTATCCAATCAGATTAAAGCAATATCAGTCCAACTAGAATCACCACTGAAATGTCACATCTATCACTTGAATGTTTAATATATATCCAATCAAATCAAAACACTGTCTGTCCAACTAGAATTATACCTGGCTGAAATATCACATCCATCACTTGAATGTTTATCCAATCAAATCAAAACACTGTCCAGCTAGAATCACCAATGAAATATCACATCCATCACTTGAATGTTTATCCAATCAAATCAAAACACTGTCCAGCTAGAATCACAAATGAAATGGTCACTTTAGAATTTCCATCACTTGATTGTTTCTTTTGCTAAAAAAATGAAGATTGAAGAAAGATGTTTAACCAATCAGTCATATTTTGTTTCAAAGCACTATCCATAAGATAATTAATAGAATTCGACTTCCACAAATGGAAACTGTGTAAGAGAAAATGCTTCAACAACTACTTTAAAACCTTATATTTGATGTACAGGTTGGTCACATTGTCTTTGATGGAGTGTAAAAATCTCTACCAGGGAAGCAAGTTTTCATCTTCACACTCCAAAAACAGCAGTGAGTGATCTAAGGTAAATTAATATCACTGCTAAGTTTGAATACAATTTATGTATACATACAGTGTACATGTTTTGTTGCTGTTAGTTCCATTGTCAGCTGCTACCAGGGACAGGGCAAGGAGGCCAGGAGCTGTCATCTTCATTCCTCTTCCTGAAGTCGACTGAAAAGCAATGGGTAGAAATCTTAAGTGTGCCTAGTGTCATTGAGATAGAAGAAGACAAATGACTGAAAAAATGATTCCAAGGACCAAATTTAGAAGATTTGGTCAGAAAGTCTGAATTTGTGAATAAGGCGAATCAATAATAGAATCCCTAAATTACTGCACTACATATATTAGAAAATTTAAAAGAAGAAGACATATTATTAAATGATAAGGGATTTTGGTGCTCTCTGATTGGTCTAGACGCCTTTTCCTGAGATGTACCTCAGAGTGAGTTCACCTCATATAACGTTCTGGGAGGTTTACTTGGGTTTTCCCTCTTGACCAACCATATAGATTTGCTTATAGTTTTTTCGACCAATCAGATTGTGTTTCAAATCATGTGTCGGTCAACCAATACCTGACTAGGTCCGTATAGTCACGAGTAGACCTCATCAAAAGTCAATAATTGTACAAAGTTGCACATGCACTTACTGAATATTGGGTACATCTGAGCTTTCACATTGTGATTCTGTAGTAGCCTGCGTTGTGAAGGGTATAAAAGATATCAAGTGGTTCTTCATCTAAAACAACAACAAAATCATAAAAGAAACAATCAGTATGTTTGTTCATGATAATTGCATAAAAAGTTATGTTGTTAAATGTAAATAGTAGAGCATAGATGCTGTATAGGCAATTTACATGGCTCTATAAAATTTTAATCTAATACACATAAGATTACTGGTATTAATTGCTAGCTAATTTGGCAATACATTTTTTCGATTGCTTTGGTGAGGATGTTTTTTTTAATAAAATGTATAATTGTGAAAGTAAAATATGAATTTTTCTTAAAACAGGAAGTATAAATATCTTCTACTTTTTTACTACTGAGAAATCACAAATTTTCGTGGGGGTGGGGTGGGGGTAATTTTCATTGTTTTCAAGGTATGAAGAGACCCACAAATTCATGACCACCACGAAATTTAAAATGTTCCATACATAACTACTCAACAATTCTTCATCCACGCAATTAAATCCCCACAAACTAAGAGTTTTTACTAAAATCATGAAAATTTGACCCCACAAAAATATGTGATTTTACAGTATTATAGTAAAATGATTTAAAAAAATTATTCTGAATTTTTTTTTTTACCTGTCTGATGAACACAGCAAAGGTTACAGAGGTGATTGGTAGAAATATTGGTATACATGTGTCCAAACTCTCTGTTGATGGCCTTGCAGATGTATATCCACCATAATTCAGATCTTCAACAGGGGAGATTACTCCTAAAATCATAAAATGATAAGTAATGCTTGGAAATAAACTTGAGATCAGAGAAAAGAATGCCCCAATCATGTGGCTTTTAATTAAGAGAGAAAATTTGGGAATAATTTACATACACTTACCTCTGACAGAATACCACTTGGATCCAAGTTTACACTTTACAGTTGAAACACCATCATGAAAGTTGAAAAAAAAATTAAAAAGAAAAATAATTATCAAAAGAAATTGTCAGTATACCTGTAATTTGCCCTCCAATTGACAAAGATAGTTTTGCTTGGCTTTTTCTTTGAATTAGACATCAAAAGCAATATCTAAATAATTTCAATTTGACGTTATATACTTACATACATGCAGTATTACTCGTCCATCACTGTAGAGCTAAGGATCTGTTGTTGAAGAAATGGACAGTCAGTGACTGAAAACTTGATACTGTAAACCAACTTTTATTTGCGTGTGAGAAATTTTCGCGAGGTTCCTCATCGGGAATATTTCTCGCCGCAAACTGGTACTTAAAGTCTCTGTGTTTATTAACATCAGATTCAAAAAGGCTTGATCATGAAAATTACTAGTAGCAACTAATTAACCCCTGATAAATTGCGAAATAAAGTCGTCACAAATAAAAGTTGGTTTACTGTACATGTACTAAATTGCAGCCTCTTGACCTAATGATTTACCGATACTAAAGTTCATTTGAGGATTATTTCATAGATATATTGGTTGGACAACCGAAGTGTAAATTTTAAAGAGACCTTGACCTTTTCATATTTTTTTTCCCTCTACATTGTAAGCA